TGAGGACTCTCAAAACTGTGGAATCCAATTTCTGATATTTCCCTTTTACCACCAAAATGTATGCACCCTCTCCCACCCCCACACCCCAAATAAATGGGGCCCCAAATGTACGGATCAGAGTCAAAAGGCATCTTTAAGGTCAAAGAAGCCTGGCTGGTTCTCTCCACGTGGTGGCAAAGTTACTCCTGTTGGTGGCTGGGCTGTATACAAAACAACAGAATAATGCTCCTCTCCCAACACCCAACCCACACCATCTGTGAGAACTGTAAATAGAGGACTGAGTAGCACAAAACCACAAGAGGCAAATAATTGCACTTTATAACTACTCCGAACTCCTAAATAAACTGTTATCCTAAGGCTTTTAGCTATAAAACAGCAACTTAACACAAAACTCAAAGGAGGGAATAGTCACCGTGCTTGAAGGACAGAGCCGCCCTTGGCCTGCGCATTCACTCTGGTACAGTGACTGTATTTTCCTCCTAGCTCTCTGAATGTGTGCTGTCCCTGAGGACCTGTTCTCCCGTTGGGAAGTGCGGCCAACTTCCACACAGCCTCCCAAGGCAGAACACCAGGGACCACAACAGAATCTGTGAGAGTCACCCCAGCAGTAATTCTGTTTCCTAGACCCAGCCCTTCTCACCAACCAGCATCCGGTTCCTAAAACTACTTAATAAGAGACAAAATCTTTCATCCTACAATTAAAGTTATAACCAAAAGATCTGCAATTCCATCTTTATTGTATTCTAAATCTCTATACATTTAAACCTATTTTCTAACACTTTATTATGACACTTCCAGGCATATGGCAATTGCTTGAGATAGTTTTACATAATTATAAAATTTCCCATATATGCAACCCTCTGTCATCAAGCCATCTGATTTTCTCTTTTGTTTTTTTCAAAATAAATTGCAGACAGAAGCACACTTCCCTCCAAATACTTGGACAAGAGTCCGATACATCTTCATAGATTTTTATTTCAAAATAAGCTTCCCTCCAAATACTTGGACAAGAGTCCGATACATCTTCATAGATTTTTATTTCAAAATAAGCTTCCCTCCAAATACTTGGACAAGAGTCCGATACATCTTCATAGATTTTTATTTCAAAATAAGCTTCCCTCCAAATACTTGGACAAGAGTCCGATACATCTTCATAGATTTTTATTTCAAAATAAGCTTCCCTCCAAATACTTGGACAAGAGTCCGATACATCTTCATAGATTTTTATTTCAAAATAAGCTTACTATACAATGAAATGCACAAATCTTAACTCTACATTCACTAGATTTTGACAAATGCATACACTTTTGTAAACCAAACTCTTATCAAGAGAGAGAACTGAATCTATTTCTTGACCTACTAGCTTTTATCAATGATCTGTGTATTCACATACGAGTAAAAATCTGTTTTAAATATCCTAGCTTTAAAATATGTTTTGAAATCTGCATGTCTTGTCTCCCTTCGTTGCTCCTATTTTCAGAACTATTTATACTATTTTGGCAGATTTAATTTTTCTCTTGAATTTTCAAATCACTTCACTGAGTTTCCCCCAAAAAAGAAAAAAAAAGAAAATGAAAGCAAAAACTCCTGTTGTTATTTTTAATTGACTTGCATTAAGTTTAAGATTAATTTGGGGATATGTGAAACTTTGTAATATTCCATCTACCCTTCCAAGAACACGAGATGCTTTTCTATTTAGTCAAGCCTTCTTCCATGTATTAGAATTCTTTTCATAAAATTCTAGCACATTTTTTAAGTTTATTTATGGGTTGTTATCGTAAATGTGTTTTTCCCATTATACTTTTTTATATGAATTTTGTATACAAACAACTTACCAAATTTGCCTGTGGTCAATAGGAATTTTCAGTTGATTTTCTTAGGTTTTGATATATAAATCATATTCTGCAAACAATAATTTGCCTCCTCTTTCCCATCTCATTTCTTATTTTGTATAATTATGATTTTCTCCTTTTCACTAGTTTTTCAAAGAACCAGCTCTTCATTTTTCAGGTTTATGGCTTCCCTGTTTTATATTCATTAATTTTCACTTTTAATTTATGAGTTATTTCCTTCAACTTTTCTTAGGTTTATCTCCTTGGCTTTTGTCTAAGTTTTTTTTTTTTTATTTTAAGATTTTATTTGACAGAGAGAGTGAGAGAGCACAAGCAGGGGGACCAGGAGAGGGAGAAGCAGGCTCCTCGCTAAGCAGAAAGCCTGACCCGGGGATCGATCCCAGGACCCCAGGATCATGACCTGAGCTGAGGGCAGACGCTTAACTGTCTGAGCCACCCAGGCGCCCCTGTCTAAGTTTTAAAATGTGATGCTTAATTCATTTATTCTTGTTCATCTATAAAAATATTTAAGGTTGGATATTTTTCCTCTGAGCACAGTTTTAGCTGTATCCCATGAGTTCTGACACGTCATGTTTTAATTAAGAATATTTTTATTACTTTTGATTTTCTCTTTGACCAAGGAATTGTTTGAGAGAATTTTTTTTTTAAGATTTTTTAAATTTATTTGAGAGAGAGAGAAAAAATGCCTGTGCAAGAGCATGAGCAGGGGGAGGGGCAGAGGGAGAAGCAGACTCCCCGATGAGCAAGGAGCTCCATGAGGGGCTTGATCCCAGGACCCTGCGATCATGACCTGAGCCAAAAGCAGACACTTAACCGACTGAGCCACCCAGGCACCCCTGTTTGAGAGAATTTTCAAATTTCCAAGCAGTATTTTGTTTTTGAAATGAATCATGGAATGACACTTTTTGTAGGACAAAGATTTTAATATGAGATATTAGGTGTTTATGCATCTGTTCAGGGAGTTTTGTTTCCTATATGTTGGATGTTTTTCTATAAAGTATTCGTATATAAGGTATGCATATGTTTATAAAGTATGTGTTCTTATATACATCTTTAACTACTATGCATCTTTAACTAAGTGCTAGCATTATATTTGTGACCCAAATACACGGACTGATTTATTCCTTAATTTTCTGCTTTTATTATAGAAAACCAAGCCTCAGAGAGGTTAAGCAATTTGTCAAATACCATGCAGTAGATCTTGGAATCAAAATAATAGAGCAGGATGCCTGCCTGGGGATGGCTGATTCCACAGCCAACACAATTCTACCTCCCCTAGAACTACGTGAGGAAACAAAATATAAATTACTCACCATCTATAGGAAATACATACAAAACACATGACCATCAACATGCAGTCACTGAGGATGTTAGGGATGGCTACTAAGGAATGTAGATATGTGATTGCACATTTCATGAAAGTACAAGGCTTTTATAGATTTCAAATATTGGGATTGGTCCAGGAGGATTATTCTGCTTTTGGAATTCTTTCAGATTTTAAGGTATTCCTCTAAGAGGTTCCTTTCAATGTTTCACCTTCACCATGAGAAATCCTTTCTAATACCTGACCTAATGACTTCATGCTGAGGGTTAGTTCTCTCTTTGGGTTTCTTTAGAGAGGGAGAACAGCTGGTCCCTATTCTCTGCATAATAACTCCTCATGAACTTGAGGCCTTCCATAGACATCATCTGTGGGATAAATAATCCTAATCTCTAAATCCTACCTTTTTGCAATAATATTTTCTTAAAAAGTGGTTATTTTTTTTTGCCAGAGAAGAAGGGCAATGTTTATGTGGCCCACATAAAGTTGTTAAGTTGTGTTGACCACTCTGGAGCTACTGCATTGTGAAGTGGTGAGGTCATTGCAATACTGTTGCTTTATGGTGTCTACAAGTCTGTCTGTACCTCCTGAGGCCTTTTAACCCAGGTCATAAGGTGCAAGGCATTTGCCATCCATCTCCCATACTTAAGAGGTGCTGAGGAGAATCAAAATCGCAAATGACTAAGGAAAATATGAAAAAGCACGGAAACAGCAGAAAAATTTGAGAGTTTTATAGTGATTTGTGTGAAGTGCATTTATTCTTATTTTTTAAAAATCAGAAAAACTTATATGATAGCATGGAAAGGAAATAAAATAAACCGGTAGTGTCAGTAATAACAGAATAAATTTTTTTTTTTTTTTTTTTAGTAAAGAAAAGAAAGATAGTCCAACCAAGTCTCTTCCCTTTACAGACTTCCAGAATGATAACAATGCTAATGATAGCATCTCTAGAAATCATATGGGTTCAAGAAAGCATTGGAGAGAGAGAGAGCAAGAGTACAAGCAGGGGGAGCGGCAGGCAGAGGGAAAAGCAGGCTCCTGATGAGCAAGGAGCCCGATGCGGGACCCGATCCCAGGCCCCTGGGATCATGACCTGAGCTGAAGGCAGACATTCAACTGACTGAGCCACCCAGGCATCCCTGGCTAACCCAATTTTTAACCACAGTTTCAAAAATAAAATAGTTTAAAATAACAAAATCAAAGCATATATATTACTTGATGTTTATTTCATACTTAGACTTTTCAAGCTTTTATTATCTATATTAGCTAATATAACATATGTTTATTTTCTAAATAATTTTTTAAGTTTTCTTATTTGTGAAGTTTTGAATTGCTTGAATTTTAAAAGAAAAGCATGCAACACACAAATAATAAAATCATTATTCTTAAAAAAATTAATGTAAAATCATGTAGCTTTCTCTACATAGCATTTTTTTTAAAAAAAGATTTTATTTATTTGAGAGAGAGTGCGTGCTCACACGCAAGAGAGCACAAGCAGGCTCATATGTGATCTTCTTGGTCCTTGTCTTTTTGAGAATAGTAATGGCAGAAATTGTCATGGTGGGAGTTTCTTTTAGAGAATTTCAATCGAAAGATGACATAAAAAATTCACCAAACAAAAATCTGTCGTTAAATCAAGCAGGGGGAGAGAGAGGGGCAAAGGGAGAGGGAGAAGCAGACTCCCTACTGAGCAGGGAGCCCCTGTGGGGCTCGATCCCTGGATCCTGAGATCATGCCCTGAGCTGAAGGCAGATGCTTAACCAACTGAGCTGCCCAGGCACACCATCTACATAGCATTCTAAGAAGGAAGAGAGACAAAACAGCAATGCTGATCAACAGCATAAGGTTTTAATGTTTAATTTGATCTCTGACAGCTTTAAAGAGATATTTTTAAAGCAGTTACTTCCATATGCTTCTTTCTTAGGAAAAAAAAAGGCTAAGTTGAATATGATGAGTCTTGCACCATGTCGCAAATGCTGGCACTTTGGAATTTTCTAGGCCCAAGTGAATGTTTGTTTCTATAAGAAAGAAAAATAAATGATTAATACCATTAGCAGGTCAATTAAATTATCAGGCAGCTATCTTCCCTACTGCCTGCCTACTCTGGCATTGTTGTGAAATTAACTAGTAGACTTAGTGTAGCAATTGATAGCATATTGCTCGAAAATAACCAGTTTCAACAACTTTTCTATTTTTCCCTTCATTCCTTTTTGAATGCCAAAGTTCCTCTCACTAATGGATTGCTTATGATATGCCAAGGAGTTCATCACCAGAATAGAGTAAGGGTAGAGATAGAATGTGGTCATGATGAAATTTTGTTGTATTCCATTGCAGAAGTGATAAAAATGCAGGGTGTCTCATAAATATTTCTGACCCATTTGCTTACAGAGATGGGAGTATTTATGGTTTGGAAATCCCTGGCTATAAAAAGCATTCCAGTTTATTCTATGCTATCAAGTAGCCTTTTGTTAAAGTAGAGGTTTATGGGTGAGTTATTGCTGGGAAATCTGCCTTTAGAACATTAGTAATGCAATAAATTCCATCCAGCCCATCTAGGTTATTTTGAGCAGAACTATGTCTAAATGAGCCAACTGCATTTCACCAAAGATATTATATTCTATTCAGAGGCTCATATGTGATCTTCTTGGTCCTTGTCTTTTTGAGAATATTAATGGCAGAAATTGTCATGGTGGGAGTTTCTTTTAGAGAATTTCAATCGAAAGATGACATAAAAAACTCACCGAACAAAAATCTGTAGTTAAATCAAGTAATTGATCTTTCTTAGGTATTGAATCATATTGCAGCTCATGAAAATTGCATGTGAGATCCATGAAAATATTTTTCTATCTTGAATGTGAAGGTCATAGCATGTTCTTTCAAATTTGTATGGATGCTATGAAATCATAGTTCTATAGCTGTACCATGTATATCTGTTTTGTTTTCAAATTAGACTAAAAACATATTGATATAAGGGTTGGTATACTTAGAAGAAGCAGTTCAGCTTTGAGGTCAGATGTCCTGTGTTTCAGGGATGGCTCTGACACTTAGCTGTGTGACCTTGGACAAATCACATAGCAATCCTGTGCCTCACTGTGTCTCACAGAGGAAGACAATAAAAATATCTACTTTTTGAGAATCAAATAAGTGTTTTCTCCTCCATTATTATTTTCCTTCTGTATGTTCTCACACACAGCATCCTGCAGAATATTGGGACCAGTATATACTCATTGAATAAATTGGCCTAAGTAGATTTTATATGGTTATAGAGGTATGTAATAGTAGCCCAGTGTTGAGTAGGGGTAGATAGGAATTGGGAGTTAGGAAGAACTGAAAACTCTGCTTATTTAAAATATAAACTTTGCTGAGTAATTGTCTTAATTTTCTCACTGGTAAAATGGTACCAAGAATATTATCTTAAAAGACGATTGGAATCAGAAACAAAATGCGGTGAGCATTGGCAAAATATCTAACACTCAATAAATGATAGCTGTTACCAGCTAGCACTATGATCTGTTTCTACTCACAGAATACTTTTGACCCTAAATGTGGGGGGGGGGGGGTTGGTTTCCCACACCACCAACCAATTCTCCAACCCTTGTGTCCTACGATTCAATGCTGACACTACCTGAAATTAGTGTACACCCACAAGTTAAGAGTTTAGTCCCACAAAACTGCCCCTACTTCACACACCAATTTCAAGTCCAGGCTTCCTGTACTTCTGACCTGTTGGCTATAAATGGAGGGTTCTCATGACCCCCTCCTCAGGTTTGATAATTACTTAGAATGGCTCAAAAAATTCAGGAAAATAGTTTACTCACTGTGACTGGTTTCTTCTAAAGCATATAATTCAGGAACAGCCAGATGTAAGAAATGCACAGGGCAAAGTAAGGGGGAGGGGAGGAGCACAGAGCTTCCGTGCCTCTCTGGATGCCCCGTTCTCTCAGCATATTGATGAATTCACCATCCCAGAAGCAGTCTGAACTCCATCTTTTAGGATTTTTATGGAGGTTTCATTACTTCATTATGCAGGAATGATTGATAAAAGCATTGGCCATTGGTGATTAACTCAATCTTCATCCCTTCTCCCTTCCCTGAGATCAGAGGGTTGAGCTGAAAGTTCCAAATCTCTAATCACTGGGTTGGTCCCTCTGGCAACCAGCCCCCTTCCTCCAATAGTCACCTCATTAGCATGAACTCTGGCAGAATCGAAAGAGGCTTGTTATGAGCAACAGAAGATGCTCCCCTCATCCCATGCCAGGAATTTTAGGAGCCCTGTGCCGGGAACCAGAGAAGACCAAATATACGTTTCTCATTCTATCACAATATCACACGAACATGTGCAGGATGCTGCTTTAAAGAACGACAACACTGGTCTGCAGACATGATCTCACCACATTGTGTGAATGTCTACCTTGTGCAACACTGTGCTGGTAACTGGGAGTGCGAGGGATGGAAAACACATGACTTCTGTTGCTCGTAGTCTGTTGAGAAGTAGGATTTTTTTTTTTAAGATTTTATTTATTTATTTGACAGAGAGAGAGATAGTGAGAGCAGGAACACAAGCAGGTGGAGTGGCAGGCAGAGGGAGAAGCAGACTCCCCACCGAGCAGGGAGCCCAATGTGGGACTCGATCCCAGGACTCTGGGATCATGACCTGAGCCGAAGGCAGACGCTTAACGACTGAGCCACCCAGGCGCCCCGAGAAGTAGGATTTTAAAAAGATGGTGAGATACATAATTTTTGCAAAGCAAGGTCAAATGACAAAACTAAAACAACTTAGTAACAAGTTTGATGTCCTTTTTGCGAGGAAAAACAATCCATGGATTGGGGGAGTGCAATGTCTCACTAACAGTGGAAGCGTCTTCCTGGGGGATTTTGGGCAAGAGGGAACTTTATAGGGCATTAGAAGTAGCGATGGGCAACGGGGCACGATTTGCTGGTGCTGCATCTCTGACGTCATTTAGAAAGATCAAGGAATGAGGAAATCAGTATCTGGGGATTGGCCGACTGGATACATTTTGTTTCTGGTGAAGTGGGACATTTACAGAAATACGAAAGATCCGTTTGCGGACATAGCACCCTGAGCAGGAGTGGCTCCATCTAATATGTATTTCAACTGCCTGGATTTTCAAAACTTACCCAAAAGTGAGTAAAAAAACACAAATATAGATCAATAACCATATTGTAGTAAACCATGGCCAAGCCTGTTTTATTAAAACCTTGAGTACGATGGGGTGCCTGGGTGGCTCAGATGGTTAAGCGTCTGCCTTCGGCTCAGGTCATGATCCCAGGGTCCTGGGATCGAGCCCCGCATCGGGCTCCCTGCTAGGCGGGGAGCCTGCTTCTCCCTCTGCCTCTCTCTCTCTCTCTCTCTCTCTCTCTGACTCTCATGAATAAATAAAACAAAAACAAAAACCTTGAGTACGCACAATAGCACAGTAAGAAATTAAAAACTAGGTTATGTATAAAATGCTTTGTAAATGTTAGGTACCTCAGTGGTGTGAAGTGGTACTAATTTTTTTTTTTAATCTGGAACCCAGAAGATGGGTTTGAGTAATATAGTTTAAATAAAATAAAATGCATTTTTTTTTTTTTTAGTATAGGTCCCTGAGAACTGATAGACACCCACCTACACTCCCCCAGCGTAAGAGGTGATAACAGGCAGTCAGCTGCCAGGCTTGGCTCTCCAACCTCACAGACCCCTGTCTTCACATGCACTGCTGAGGTCACTAAAGTTCAGCATGTCTTCATGAGGAATAAGGGTGGTTCCAGAAAGTCCAATTTAGTCACACCATCATTAATCTTTGATCTCCTCACATCCCTTGAATTGCTCATTTGCCGGTTAGGAAGTCCAACACAGAAAAAGTTACGTTGCTTAAGAAAGTTGTATTGCTCAAAAACGAATTCTCATGGATCTTCACATGTGGGATGATTTTTGTTGTCTGGCCCATCTTACACGAGAAGAAATTAAAAGAGGCACAAATCATTGCGTCTTTGTAGTGACTTTCAAAGCATTGGGGAAGAAAATCTAAAGTTCCCAATTCATTTTACAAAGTTAGAAAAACTTTCTAAACTATGATAATCAAAAACAAAAGGTCAGCATTTCCAAAACTGATCCAGAAATCCCTCTTTCTAACACATACTAATGAATGATGCACACACAAAAAAAGATTTTGCAATCAGATAATTAGCTAAGTCCCATTATGATAACCCTTTCTTGAAGACTCATAGTGCGTTTTCCTGTAAAAGTCTCCAAGAAATGAAGAAATCAACTTAACTGAGAATTTCCCAAATTGATTTGGTTGTAAGCAATCACTATCTTTTTTGTGACCCAAAGCCTTTCCCAAAGCAAAGATGGTAAAAGATGCCAAAACAATGATGACCAACGCAATTTGGAAACATACCAGATTTCATCAGGACGGGAGACATAGGCCACCTACCTTGCTCCAAATATTAATAATGAATTTGTTATACCTCGTAATTCTGATAAATACATGATTCTCCATTTATACATTTACATATTTAATTCCTATTCAGATCTTTCAAAGTGCATTTCATTCCCTTAAATGTCAGCATCTGTGCAATTTGTTTTTAATATTTGTTCCCCCCGCCATTGGTTTTGAGAGACACAAGTGAAATCTGGAAGAGCCAGAAATAGCCCCAGAGAAAAGGGTTGAAACACCCAGTTAGAGAGTGTAAGAAACAGAAGTTATTTCTGAAACTTCAACCCAGAGTTCTCTCTGACACCCAAGTAGAGACATGGCTAGACTAGAACAGGCTTCCAAGGCAGGTTATGGAAGTCCAGTGTAATTCTTTTACCAGGCTGCTCTCTCAACTCTATAAATAGCATATGTTTTCACATGCTATTTGAACCTTAGGCTCTGTTTCACTATGCCCATAGCCATGATGCCTCTCGGCTATCTCCATGATGGCAGCTTCAGGCTTTAACGGGAAACGCTTTATATAGCCTGCAGAGTGGACGCTAATGATCCAGTGCTTCCCTGCCCCAGCCTGAACAACGCCATGACTTTTGTAATCTCAGTCCATACAGATAGCTGTCATGTGATAAGGGAAAGCATCCTTTATGTGAACTGTATTGGGTTGTGAACACCTTGGGCTTGGAATAAACCAAACTGAAAGATGTCAAATATTGCATTCCATGCACAAAAAAATTGGGGAGCTTCAGCCTAAAATAAATTTTTAAATGTACCTTGATTTTAGTACTAAGGAGCCAGATTCTGTTTCACAAAAGATATTAAAAAGTTATGAATTCCCTTAATCGCAGGAAACAAACTGAGGGTTGCTGGAATGGGGGGTGGGGTGGGAGGGATGGGGTGACTGGGTGATAGACACTGGGGAGGGTATGTGCTCTGGGAAGCGCTGTGAATTGTGCAAGACTGTTGAATGTCAGATCTGTACCTCTGAAACAAATAATGCAATATATGTTAAGAAAAAAAGAAGAAGAAGAAGAAGAAGAAGAAGAAGGTAGCAGGAGGGGAAGAATGAAGGGGGGGAAATCGGAGGGGGAGATGAACCATGAGAGACAATGGACTCTGAAAAACAAACTGAGGGTTCTAGAGGGGAGGGGGGCTGGAGGATGGGTTAGCCTGGTGGTGGGTATTGAGGAGGGCACATTCTGCATGGAGCACTGGGTGTTGTGCACAAACAATGAATCATGGAACACTACATCTAAAACTAATGATGTAATGTATGGGGATTAACATAAGAATAAAAAAAATACAGTGTATTTACCACTCAAAAAAAAAAAGTTATGAATTCCTCTATTTACTAGAGAAATAGAATTTCTATGCAGCTGATGAATCATTGAACTAATGAACCATTAAAAACTAATGATGTACTATATGTTGGCTAACTGAACATAATAAAGAAAAGGAAATAGAATTTCTATATGTTGTTTATTTATATACTTGATGCATATATCAATTGAAATTTGTAGGTGCCTTTTTGATACAGAGTCTACTTTGTTTCATTTGTTAATTTCTAAATCTAGTGAGAGATCATCATAATAAAAGCCCAACATTGTCTTTAACAGCAAATATCAACAATTTCAGTTGCATATCTCATGTGACTTGGTTAAAAAGTGGACAAAAGTTACTAAGTTCAATTATGACCCACTCCCCAAAAAACCCTAACTGTTTATAAAAATGGATGTTGCATACAAAGGACAGGGCATGGACCTATAAACTGGTACAAAATAGCTTAGGCTATTTCTTTGAAATTTTCATTGTTATTTATGTTTGTCACTTGAGTCACAACAGTGAAGAAATAAATAATCATAAGGAAAAAAACCCCAGTTATACATGTGTTCAGGTCCATTAATTATTTCTTATGAACAATAGCAAGCATTTTAATTTTTCATTCTAATGAAGAGGAAAAAGGCTAGCAGATAAATCATATAAAGACAATATTAAGAGAGGCAATGATTACCATACTGAGCAGTATCTTATGATTTTTTAAAGACCGCTCCAATATATCCAAAGAGGGAATGAGGTTTTAAGAGCATCTGCAATAAGTAAAAGGAGTCATTTTTACTCCCGATTCATAAAATTGAATCCATTTATTTTATTTTATTTAAATTTTCTACTCGATGCTAGAGTGAAAATACAAGCACTAAATTTAATGTGTTAAGATTCCAGACAGTCCAGGGCGCCTGGGTGGCTCAGTCGTTAAGCGTCTGCCTTCGGCTCAGGTCATGATCCCAGGGTCCTGGGATCAAGTCCCACATCCGGCTCCCTGCTCGGCAGGAAGCCTGCTTCTCCCTCTCCCACTCCCCCTGCTTGTGTTCCTGCTCTCGCTATCTCTCTCTCTGTCAAATAAATAAATAAAATCTTAAAAAAAAAAAAAAAAAAGATTCCAGACAGTCCATATTAACTTTTCCAGAAGAGTTTCTCTTACCAGGATTGAGCAAGGACACTGAGGAAGTTCTCACCATTAAATGGGAAAACAGTTCCCATTTAGTCTGTTTGCAGGGAAACAGACTGTGAGGCAGAGGTTAGCATGCAAGAGGCTCACTGGGGGGCTCTGAGTAATGACTTGATGAGATAGAAAGAGATGTGGGACTGGGCAGAGGGCAAGGTTGAGCTGATGCAGCTGGGACCAACGTCTCAGCCAGCTTCAGCGAATCCCATGGGAAGCCATGGAGCTGGGATGGCCCTTCAGAGCTTCGCAAACTTGAGATGAGGGGGCCAGGGCTTTGTACCTCCACACTGATCGGTTTTTGGAT